AGAACGAAGTGCTTTGTTTGTATTTCCTTTTTTTCTCGTTTGATTTTTATTCTGTACACATTTGTGACGTTTTGATCCTTCAGTCCATCCAGGAGTTCTTCACTTACATATTTGAGGTCATCAACAGAAGTTCATCCTCCGTCATCATCAGAGGTCATCATCAGTGTTTAGTGATCGGTGAGGTGTAATAGACACTGGAATGTCTTAGAAGGCAGTGATTTTTGAAAGGTTCTCATACTGGTGCTTGTACAGTACTTCCAAAAAAAAGGTCACCATTGGCTAGTTGCTTGATTTTACACCCTTGCCTTAAGGTGTCGGTTAGGGTTCTGGATACTTTGGAAGAGGAGACATGTCTCGCTGTTCTTTCTGCGTACTCGCTGTGAATCACGTGGAATCTTGGGAATGTGCATTAGTTGTTAGTGAAAAATTTTTATGTTACATCGGTGCGCGTCTTCTTTTGAGGGGGGCGATCAGGTTAAAAGACAGGAGAGTCCATCTAGTTTGTGTGTCCTTCAGCTGCAGTAGCAGCCGCCCGCCATGGAGCCCAACGAGGGGACGGGACAGGGTCTCACGTGCAAGACCTGCCCACGCCAGCTGTATACCACGACTATAACCGAATATGGCTTAAGTCAGGGTGGTTAGCCACGCACAACAAGTAAGCAAATAGAAGACAGGAGTAGACAGGACAGACAAAAAGTGGGGGGAAAGACGAAGATGTAGGAAGAGAGAGGTAGGAAAAGGCGACTGCCGATTTCAACTGGGTGGGTCAGCCCATAGGTGCGGTCTACGTGAAGCCGGGGCCAAAGGGGTGTGTTGCCTCTGCCGGGCGGCCTTAAAGGTCCAATCACCCGGCATCGGCTGAAACCCCCCGGATCCCCTTTTCCCCGGACACGGCAAAGCCACACACGGCTAGGCGTGGGAGGGAGTCAAACCCATTCCCCACCGCTAGCTCGGATCCTTGGTGTCGCTACACACCAAACGCCTGCTTACGCAGACGCCCCTGCGGGGACTAAAATTGGTCTCGCGTGACGTGAATAAATGATGAAAGTAAGCGACACATCCAAACATGATAATCATGACACGGAATCATGTACGACATCATTTACCTCCACCTCGTAACGTTGTGCTGATCTTATAGGGACATACCAACGTTTCTCATTTGTGCTTCCCTATCATCGATTCCCACTGTACGTGGGATCTGCCAATTTTATAAATGACATTCCAGAAACCTCAGTAGTGTTTATTTATGCGACGATAATGCTTATTTCGAAAGAGAAATTGACGTTATAGAATACATGTGGTTAGGCTTGTTTTGCGGCAATGGCTTCTCTTGCTTTCAGCGATGTTTTCATCGCTCTTGGTGTCGCTGGTGGGCCGTTTCGCCGAAATGCTGCATGTTCCACCCACGTTCACCTGTTTGATCCACATCAGAACCATGTTCATACCATCCGAGGAGGCGTCCAGAAAGCACCTTACGATTAATAACAGTCACGAAAATGCGAGCACGCTAGCGCAAACTGCCCCTCAAACGTGAACGCGTCAGCCGAGCACGTCCTGACAAAACCTGAACTTTTTGAACCAACCATGCCATCCGCAAGGATAACACCAAGTGGTTCTTTTTAAATGCGAAGCATTTTTTAATGTACTTTGGTGACTTTGAGCGTATCTATCTATCTATCTATCTATCTATCTATCTATCTATCTATCTATCTATCTATCTATCTATCTATCTATCTATCTATCTATCTATCTATCTATCTATCTATCTATCTATCTGTCTGTCTGTCTGTCTGTCTGTCTGTCTATCTATCTATCTGTCTATCTATCTATCTATCTATCTATCTATCTATCTATCTGTCTGTCTGTCTGTCTGTCTGTCTGTCTGTCTGTCTGTCTGTCTGTCTGTCTGTCTGTCTGTCTGTCTGTCTGTCTGTCTGTCTGTCTGTCTGTCTGTCTGTCTGTCTGTCTGTTTATCTAGCCACCTACGACTTTTAGCTCCCCTGGCCGTTTCAATAATGGTATCCATACCAACATTGGTATGGCATAACATGACTGTATGACGAGCCTAAGTGACTAGTCATGACATGAAAATCAGGATACGTATGTCATGAATGTCATAATTTACATATCATGGTCTTGCCGCTGTTGCAGTTATTTTGTTCACATGAAATGTTACAAAACTGGCATGGTATGACGTGACTGCATGGCGAACACGAGTGACAGATCCTAACATGAAAGTCAGGATATGCGTATTATGATACGGCATGATACTGCATGCCACACTCTTGATGCGCTCGCGGCCGTTTCACTAGCTTCACATACACCCAATTTGGTATTACGAGACGTGAATGAATGACGAAGGCATGTGTCTGGTGAAAATATAATAATGAGGAGATGCGTGTCATGTAAAAACATGACTACACGCTACGCTGATGATGCGGTCGTGGCCGTTTCACTAGCTTCAAATATACCACATTTCGTATTACGGGACGTGAATGGATGACGAGGGTATGTGTCCGGTGCAAGCATAATAATCATGAGATGCGTGTCATGTAAGGTCATGACTACATGCGACGTTCATGATGCGCTCACAGCCATTTCGTTAGCTTCACTTATACCAAATTTGGTATTACGGGACATGCATGAACGACGAAGGTACGTGACTGGTTCAAACATGATAATCATGAGGTGCGTGTCATGTAACAACATGACTGCAGGCTACGCTTATAGGGCGCTCATTGTCGTTCCGCTAGCATTACACATTCAAAATTTGTTGTTACCTGACGTCAATGAATGACGAATGTATACGACTGGTGCAAGCATGATAATCATGACACGCGTGTCATGTAAGAGCATGACAACATACCATGCTCGCGGTGGGCTCGCCGCCGTTTCGCTAGCTCCACATATACTAAATTACGTCTCACGTGATGTGAATAAATAGCAAAGGTGAATGACATGCCCAAACATGATAATCATGACAGGAAAGTAATGTACAGCATAATTTACCTTTCCCTCGTAACATTGCGCTGATTTTAAAGTGACATATCAGCCTTCCTCATTCGTGCTTCGCATATCACTGATTGGCACAGTTCAATGGGATCTGCCATTTTTTTGGCGTAGTTTGATGGCCTGCCAAGTGCGCCTACAAAGTACCGAATGTGCTCGGTTTTGTCGTGACACCTGTTGAACAAAACGAGTTAGGAGACTTCTTTCACTACAAGACATTTATGTAGTGTTTTTTTTTTTCTATCAGAGCAGCTGCCGGTGACATTGTGGCTTTGTGGGGGCCCACCTGCTTGTCTCGCGAACACCCCGGTTTCGATCCTCAATGAGCCGCATATTTTTTTTATTTTATTTTTGTTTCTCGATTTTTCACTCACAACTAATGGTGCCGATGCCGACGACGGAACTTTTGCAACATGAGCTCTCTAACGCTATCGCACTGAAATGGCTCCTAAGGAAGCCTAAAGGCCCCCTGGAACACTTTTTAAGTAACCATGTAATGAACTCTATGAAAGAGGTTATTGCGTCACGAAATAAACGGCGCAAAAAATTTTAAAAATACGTCCAGTGCGAGTGGAGTTATTAAGATTCCTCGCATACTGCGATCGCATTCTCTCTTCTCTCGTCTCGACGAAAGCCCTGGAAGCTAATCAGGGAGAGATGGCAGGCGCAAAAACGTCAAATGCGCCTCGTGACCTTGATCACTTTCTTTTTCCTCGAATGCGCAGCTTTTTCAGTGTGATCGTGCGCCCACACTTGCACAAGTCGCGGCCTCCCGCAGCAACGTCTGTAACGACCGAGTGCGCCATGTTCAAATCAGCCAATGACTGATAGATAGGCTTACTTCGAGTGATTTTGGGCGTATTCCGTGATTTGTCGAGAGAAGAGAAAGCAATTTTTAGCTGACTTTGATAATTTATTACGAATTCCACACCATCGTGCTGTGCTATAATATTTCCTTCACGTGTTGTCAGACTCGGGAGCCTCTACTACTGATCGACAGCGCTTTCTGACCATGCTCGAAAATTGTTGATTGATTGATTGATATGTGGGGTTTAACGTCCCAAAACCACTATATGATTATGAGAGACGCCGTAGTGGAGGGCTCCGGAAATTCTCGAAAATTGTTGCAGGGCCCCTTTAAAATACCATATGCCCATTAATGAGCCAGCAATCGTTCTGTGTAGTGAAGTGAGTGATAAAGTGAGCGTTGCTCGCAGGCTCCTGCTTTTTTTGCGATAGCAACTACATGGACACCATCAGCTGGATTTTGCCGCCGCCGTCGCTCACCGAATTTATATATACGTAAACACATTGATGGAAATCGGGAAAGAAAAAAATTTAGAAAAGGGCTCTGGCGCGTGGATTCGTACTTGGAACTTCTGCATCGTGAGTGCAAAGCATTAAACACTTACCCACCGAGAAGCTCGTCTTTCAATGTGACACGGGAAGCTGTTTTATTACCACTTACCGGTGGTGAAGAAAATCTCAGAGTGAAATGATTGTGTTTTCAGCTTAGCAGGAGATGGCGTAATAAGCGCGCAGCAGTGCGCGGTGGCATGCGCCCTCATCTCTCACGCGTACTTTCCCTCAGCAGAGAGGAGTGTGTGGTCGTAACGCCCCTGAACGCAGATTCGCGCGCCCTTATATCGCGGTTGGGAGCATCTTATGTCTTGCTTGTACTTAAGCTTTCACCGGAAACGATTCTATTGTAGGTACCAGGGCCCACAAAATCACTGCGATCATTGCATTGTCTGCGTTTGCGAAAAGAGCACGCTTTTCAGACACAGCGAAGTAACAACTGAGATGCTTATTCGTGTTCATTTGTACCTGTGAGTATGTTTCATGCGTTATTTGTGCGTGAGAAACGTGGGACACGTACGTTTGAATCTGCTTGTCATTCTGCGCGTGACCTTCCAATTTGTTGTCATCGCGTTCATTGCTTCGCCTTTGTGTCAGCACTGTGACTTTTTTTTTTCTTTCCTCGCTACCAGGAGGCGCCGGTATAGGCCACTGTCACCGAGCGACCTGCAGATGACCGGCAGCGAGTCGTCACGCGGGAACTCCCCGGACTGACCCCAAGGGCCAGCAGTGCGTGCCTGCAGCTACTGTTGCGTGTGTGTGTGATCATGCGTCGCCCTCTGGCGGGAGCCCCGAGGCCGCTGTGCGCCGAGTGCGAACCCTAGCGGCGACGGTGGTGGAGCACGTTTTCCCTTCAGAGCCTCGGGTTTCTTGCCTCTCTTCTGTAGTCAGCCGTGAAAATGGACGTGTCACGTTCTATGAACAACAAAGAGAAGGCGGGCAGAACGTTAGTAACGAGGGAGTGACGACGCAGCGCTGCGGATGGTCGTTCGTGAGCCATCCGCGGTGTGAGACTTTATGTTGTGCTCTCTCCTGGCGGCATGCTTGCCCTGTACTTCTGTCACCATTGGAAAGAGAGAAAAAAAGTTCTGTCTTCAAAGAGCAGCCCATGTGCCCACCATTTAGGAAATTTTGGGTTTTATTCTCAATACAACCGAACTAATGTACGATTATGTGTTGGTTGCTGTTGCATTACCGTGCATTAGAGACAGTGTTACCGTGCATTAGAGAATCCGCAAGATGGTCCCAACATTTTCAATTCTCGAGATGTTTTGCACACACACACACACACACACACGCACACACACACACACACACACACACACACACACATATATATATATATATATATATATATATATATATATATATATTACAAGTACCTACATCGCCCATTGGGCATTGTTGTAGGGGGGTTACAGTAGAAAATACAATACAAAACAGAAAAATTAAAAGCAAATAAAGCGTGCATTACAGTATGCAGGAGAAATAAATACTTGTAGTACAGCATTAGAACAAAAGTACGAAACACAGGATTATACAACGAAAGCAGTAATTATACATATAAAAAATCAACAACCAAGAGAAGTACAAAGCCATCGTTAAATATATGGGTTATTTCAGCAGCTCAAAATGATGTTTCAATGGCTGTTAGGAAATTAGAATCAGAGAATATTGGTATTTTTAGCGCATTCCAGTCACTAATAGAATTTGGAAAGATAAAGTATTCAAGAACATTCAATCGACAGGTATATTCTCTAATTTTATATAAGTGATCTTTCCGTTCGGACATATAACTAGGCGTCTTTAAATACCGCTCTTTATTTAGCCCAGTCTTACCGTGATATATATTATAGATGAACGAGGTTTATTGGCGCAAGTAGTACTTGCACAGCAGGTTCATTGATGCGGAAAGCGGGCGGCAGGAACCGACGCAGGAAACACAACGCTCGGGGCAACAGCTCGCGCTCGGCTCCTTTTGCTAAAGGCGTGACCCACTGCGGCACATCTTCTTCTTCCTCTCTACAATACCCCGGCGACGAAGACGAGCCATTCTGGCAAGTCAAGGTGATGAGATTAGGAGTGGGTCGTGATATGGCTTGAGACGACTCACGTGAACAGTCTCACGACCAAGGCACCGCCTGTCTGTAGATGGCGTGACCGGCTCGATCACGTATGTGACAGGAGATCGACGTTCGACGACGCGATAAGGACCGTGAAACTTGGGGGCAAACTTATCGGACAGACCTGCGGAGTGGAAGGGCAGTTCGAAGCCAGACAAGCGAGCCTCAAAGCGGCACTTCTCTTAGGTTAAGCTGGAGGTTTGCCTTGGTAACACACTGAAGAATAGGTGCGCAGACGGTCGACGAGGGTAGGGAAATCAGGAGAAAATCCGATAACATTATCGAGGTAACATAAGCATATCTGCCATTTAGGGCCGCGTAAAATGCTGTCCATCATTCGCTCAGACGTTGCAGGTGCATTGCACAGACCGAATGGCATAACCATGAATTCGTATAGGCCATCCGGCGTAACGAACGCTGTGTTGGGACGGTCACACTCTGCCATCGGAACCTGCCAGTAACCTGAACGTAAGTCCAGCGAAGAAAAGTATTCGGCACCTTGTAGGCAATCGATGGCGTCGTCGATGCGGGGAAGAGGGTATACATCTTTCCGTGTAATTTTGTTCAGTCGCCGGTAGTCGACACAAAATCTAATCGAACCGTCTTTTTTCTTCACTAGCACCACAGGTGAAGACCAAGGGCTAGAAGATGGTTTGATGACACCGCGCTGAAGCATATCATCTACCTGTTCTGCAATCACACTTCGTTCCTTGGGTGATACGCGGTAGGGGCGTTGCCGCAAAGGAGGGTGCGTTCCAGTGTAGATTGTGTGAGCGACGGTGTTTGTTTGACACAGTGCCATTTGAGGAAGGTCAAATGAATCTCGGAATTCATGGAGAAGGGTCATTAGCTGGTCCCGTTGATCCGGAGGAAGCTTGCTGTCGATGGAACGATTGAAGATATCCGAGGAGTAGTCATCCCGCGTAAAAAGAGGAGTAACGGCGTTCAGTTGAAGTTGCTAGCCACGGTCGTGGGACTCATAGGCACAATAACGTTGTCATCAACAGGATGAACATAGTCCAGTGTTTCGTGAGCTCTTAAGGTGAGAGGGCATGAAGCTACGATTGCAAATGACAATTCCGAAATTTAAGTCTTTGAACTTTCCGTCGTCCGCAAAGGGATTCCCATCCCAAGGCCTGAAGAATTCCAGAAGACCTTATTCTAAAATCGTAGTTTCCTGTAACAAACCTAGCAGCCCTTTTTTGCACCCTCTCCAACTTCTCTTTTAGTACATTCGTGAAATGGTCCCAAGAAACACAAGCATACTCTAAAATTGGGCGCACATTTGTAATATACAGGGTTTGCTTGAGTGTTTGCGGCGCGTCGCTGAAATTTCATTGAAAAAAATGAATTAAGCGTGAAGCCTTGGCTGTGATTAGATCTACGTGACTGGTCCAATCTAGTGTTGCCGTGCAATGTTACGCCGAGATACTTAACTTGATCTACCTTTTGTACTGCGCAGGAATTTAAGTAATAAGACCTGGATACTACCTTTTTTGTTAATAAATTGCACATGAAAACATTTAGTTAGGTTCAAACTCCTTTGCCACTGAGCACACCAAGACACAATCTTATCAAGGTCAGACTGAAGTACTGTGGTGTCATCAAAACACTTGACTAGGCAATACAAAACACAATCATCAGCATAAAGCCTCACTGTTGATTTCAAACCCAGTGGAAAATCATTGATAAAAATCAAAAACAGAAGCGGCCCCAGGACCGACCCCTGTGGCACCCCGGACAGTACATCAGCTGTTGATGAAGACACACCATCTATCACAACACATTGCTTGCGGCCGCTGAGATAATCCTTAATCCAGTCTATGAGGGTTATAGGAATACCAAGAAACGACAACTTATGAAGCAAAAGACTGTGGGGGACGACATCAAGAGCTTTTTCGAAGTCCAAAAAAACAGCCTCCAATTGAATGCCCTGGTCGAATGATGAAGCGATGTCATGTACGAATTCGGTTAGCTGTGTAACACACGAAAGGCCTGCGCGAAAGCCATGTTGAGACGGAGTGAAAAAATTATTATCCTGAAGGTGTATATAAGGCAAGAATAGATTACGTGTTCCAGTGTCTTGCAACAAACGGGGGTTAGCGATACCGGTCTATAGTTAGATACATTATCACGGACGCCGGATTTGTGCAAAGGCGTGATATTGGCTAACTTCCATTCTCATGGCAATTTTCCACACCTTATCGATACTTCATACAAAGCAGCTAGAAATGGAGCTATATGATCAGCACATCGTTTTAGTATGTGGTTTTAAATACTGTCGGGACCATGCGCAGTCTGGGGATTCAGCCTATTCAAATGTTTTCTTATACCTGATTCAGTTATTATGATATCATTCATAGTTGGTAACGATCTGAGTGTCGTAACGGGAGATATCGGGCTTGCGGAAAAAAAACGGATTGAAAATACGCATTGAAGCATTCTGCTTTACTCATATCATCTCTAAGTAGTTCGTCATTGTGCATGATAAAGGGAATCCCACTAATGTCTTTTTTGTTACTTTTAACGTAACGCCAGACTTCCTTTGGATTTGTTTTGATTTTTCTATTAAGGGACGATAAATATTCGCGCTTCGCCAGCTTTATCTGTGTCTTCAGGCTAGAGCATAATGCTTTAACCTTACTAAATAAATCAGCACTGCGCGTGCGACAATAATTTCTGTACACCCGAGCCTTGCGCTAATTGACGCACGTATATCTTTAGTAATCCAAGGTTTATCACCACGACGATTGGCAGTTACAATTTTCGATGGGACATAAATGTTTACCAGAGACAACAGTTTTTTTTAAACAACCCCCACAATATTTCAATGTCATTGGACTGACAGCATTGGATAAACATCGGAAGGTAGTGTATCCAGTTCAAAATTGATGGCATCAAACCTGCCTCTATCATATGCGAAAACTTTTCGTGAACGAGGTCTACTGATTTTTATCTTTTTCCACTCAATGGTAGCCGCAACGACATCGTGGTCACTTATGCCTGGAACTAGAACAACCGACTTCATTAAATTGTTACGATTCATAAAAAAAGGTCCAGGACACTATCACTGGCCGAACCCAGTCGTGTTGGAAACTGAACAAACTGGAAAAGGTCAAAAACTCTTAAGCTCGAAAAAGGCAGAATGAAGTATTGACCGACTATTTTCAACTGGACGAAAATTGCACCATTCGACATTGGGCATGTTAAAATCCCCCGCCAGCATAATTGGTTCGGAGGAAAGAGCCGAAATGGTTTTAGACAAACTAAATAAAGGTAACTCTCTAGAGTTACCAGGAAGCCGATAAAAGGACCCAAAAACTAAACCGTTCCCTTGCGAAAACGTTATTCTACACCAAACCGATTCGGTGTTGTTATCTGCGCCCTGTATTGGTACAATTGGTATGCCGTCTCAAATCAGAATGAACACACCCCCACCGTGCGTATTACGGTCTTTGCGGTAGGCTGTGTAACCTGTTGGAAAAACTTCATTATCTGAAATATGTTCATCTAGCCAATATTCAGTTCCAAAAACAACATCGGGTTGTGAAATTCGAATCAGGGTATCAAACTCGTAAACCTTATTCTTTAAACTTCGGCAATTGACAACAATCACTGATAGGGTCTCGGGAAGTCCCTTTTTGCGCGGCGATATAGCGCCCCCCAACCGCTATTGAGCGCATTCTTTCACCGAGTCACTTGTACAGTCGTACACGAAAAATTTACTTCCGATTTTGGCCTCCATTCTGCCCCTGTTGTATTTGACCATAACCTTCGCGTCAATTTGCTTCCCGTATTCCAGTAACTTTTGCCTTTGCTGGCGAGCGATTTTGGAGTAATTCTCACCAATAGAAAAATTCGTTCCCTTTAGTTTTGAGGCAGCAGATATAACTCTTTGTTTGCCTTTGAAAAACGCAAATTTCACAATAACTGGCCGAGGTTTCTCGCCCCCGACCTTGCCAATTCGGTGGGTACGCTCGATTGCGGAGGGGGACACTGTTACACGCAGCTTTTCTGCGCTACAAATCGATCACTTTCTTTTCGGA